TTGTACGGGTCAAGGGCCCCCGTTCGTACGAGGTCTCCAGCGAGGATGGCCAGATCCTCCACCGGCACATAGATCAGCTGCGCCGTCGCACGCTACAGCTGGACCCTGAGGATCCGGACGAGGACCCAGAGCCTGCCACATCGGCCCCACTACCGGAACCGGATCCACAGCCGCCTCTCCGTGAGGAACCCGAGGCACCTCACACCGTGGTGCCAGCCTGTCCTGCCTCCTCGGCGCCCTCGTCGGTCCCAGGCCCCTCGGCTCCCAGGGCCCCCGAGACCGAACCCATCGCTACCCCGGGGCCCCGACGCTCGACGCGGCCCAAGAAGCCACCCGCCTACTTGAAGGACTTCGTCTGTGGGTGCCTTCTGAACCAAGGGGGGAGGGGTGTAATGTATTCAGCCTGACATGCCCGGACTTGCCCGGGCTGGCCAGGCACAACTCTTCAATAGCTTCATGTCCAAAGACAATGGGTCCGTAGGATCCTAGCCGGCCCAATTAAAGGGCCAGCTTCTCAGCCGGGAGACCAATGGTCGCCCGGTTACTGTAAATAGCCTATCGGGAGTAGGGGGTGTGTTTAGGTGTACTTGGTGGCGGGTTTTCTGAACATATATAACCAGCCTGCGAGCTGGTCCCTTCGTCTTTGTCCTGAACTAAATAAAGGTATGCTTAGCTGAAATCACTCTCCGTCTGCATACTTTTCAGCTTGCTTATCTGAATACTGCTCCATCTCTATCCCAGATACTGAAGGTGAGCTACAATATACTTCAAAATGTATTTAATTCTCTCAAATCAAGCTGGCCCCACAGATCCCACAGTTAACTAGAGGCTCTCTGAGCGTATCATGAACTCAACAGAAACTCCAGTCATGGTATTTAGACTCCTGAAAATGAATTAATACTTTTGTGCCATTTCTCTTTTGTGGTAACTGGTAAGATATTTATCATAACTGTTAGTAAAGTTAATGCATGATATGAGCACACTTCTGGGAAAGTTTATCTGTCTTCCCTGGTTTTACAAAAGGATCTGAAAAAAGGGTGCTTTGCACAAACTGCTGCTTTTATTCTTGTGAACCTTTTGAAATAGCCTATTGCCTACTTAGAGCCAGTTTGGTGTAGTGGTTATGTGCGCAGACTCTAATCTGGGAGAACCGGGTTTGATTCCCCACTCCTCCACTGGCAGTTGCTGGATGACCTTGGGCAACCCATATTTCTGACAAGAGCTGTCCTTGAAAAAGCAGATCTCTCAGAGCCCTCTCAGCCCCACCTACCTCACAGAGTGTCTGTTGTGGGGAGAAGGAAAAGGAGTTTGTAAGCTGCTCTGAGATTCCAAGTGAAGGGCGGGATATAAGTTCAATCTCCTCCTACTACTACTGGCTCACCGCACGCTCTTGCCCTCAAAATCTTGGGGTCAGTGTGGAGATAAATTATATGGGTGGTGTGTTGTTGTTATTACTTAGATTTTTCAATCGCCCACTCCCATAAGTGGGCTCTGGGCAATTTACAGCCTTAAAACAAATAACATACAATCAATATAATAACATTATTACAGTACACTAATAAAACAACCAGTTCAGATGGCGATCACACCTTTTTGCCGGCTGCAGTGCTCTCTGTGCAACAGGGCAGAGCAGGAGACGTGGGTTCATAGGTAGAAGTTTTTGAGTTTTTAAAACATCACGCTTGCAATTGCTTGCTGAATGACGGAATTTCTAACAGCCTCCATAGAACTCGCCTTGGCCTGGATGCCCCAGGCCAGCCCAATTTTGTAAGCTACGCAGGGTCAGCCCCGCTTAGAACTTGGATGGGAAGAATTCAAGGAAGTCCAGTGGTGTGATGCAGAGGTTGACGTTGTCAACCCAACTCTATTAGTCTCTTGTCTTGAAAACACTGTGAGGGGTCATCGTAAGCCCCCTGCAGCTTGATGGTACTTGCCACTACCACCATATAACCCTACCATGAAAATTGGCTCCCGTTATCTCTCATCATGTACAGTCAAACATTGCACATAACACTTATCATAAACATAGCAGACTTCATCCTTTTAAACAGGGATTCAGAACTTCAGCACTAACCTTGCTGAGGGAAGCTTTGATTTTCTTAAGGCACAATGACAGAAGCTCTCTTGATTCCAAGGCGCATGGCACCCAAGTTCCTGGAGGCTGAAGATACCTGAAATAAGGAAACAAATAACATTTGAAGCTGCCATCAAAATACATTACTATGGTCCTCTTACTGAGGAACCAACAATCACTGGATGCCCATATCTACATCTTGGTACTTTCAAGTCAACATCACATCAAAGGCTGGAAGTCATTAATAATGAAAAAGACTGACAATGTATATGTGTACAGCTACAGACAAACTTCTGCATAACAGCTACCCCCATAAAATAAACCAGCTCTTAAGGAATACCTCAAACTCAGTTAATACTGATAAAACTCCTGAATTCTGAAGACACATTCATAGTTTATACTTATTATTTTTCTGCTAACAGAAGGAATTTTCATCAGTAAAATGGAACTTTCCTGCCTCTCAGTGTGCAATGGGGGAGGAGCTTGGCCTCCAATCAATCAGGTCCTTGCAGATCTCAAGGAAACAAATGGGATGTGAACAATTCCCCCCCTTCAATATTAGTGCTTCATATAAAAACGCTAAAAAGAGAGAGGTCCTCTTAAGGTGTTGAAAAAAATTGGTACCTTTCACACTGTTTGCAGAAGTGAACAATGACCTGCTTAGGGATCCCTTCCGTGATGTCCACCTGGGTCCGTAAACATGCCACGCACATGTTAGCTGGGTTTGGTGGGATTGCAATACCACACTGGCAGCACAGGCTGGAATACAGAAAACAAAGCTGCCATTAAAACAAATCACATTTCCCCTTCAACTAATAAAACAATATTGGGAAAACAAAGGTTATTTCCTGCCACAAAATAAATTAAGAACACTGCATGTTGGTTTAGCTTCAGACAAACTTAATGAACATGGATTTCTATTGTTCCAAATAAATAATACCAGAGTTGTTATAGTTCTCTGGATACAGTGGCAGCGTTAAACCAAAACAGACCAAAGTGTCAATGAGCCATCACAGTTGATGATCCTCAGCACTTTAACAGCTCTGAAGTTAAACTGCCTGAGATGGGGACTTGCTAGGGAAGGGGTGTGTGTAGTATTGCATTATTGTAATTTAGGAGGAAGGTTTACTGAATGGATATCTATAATGTATAAGAACCCCAGAGCCAGAGTAAGTGTAAACAGGGTTTTGTTGGAAAAATTGGGACTTCACCGAGGAACAAGGCAAGGATGTCCTTTATCATTCGCAATCATGATAGGCACTTGCTATTGTACTTAGAAGTGAAACAGAAGTTTGTGGGGTCCAGATGTGGCAAGGCAATTTCAAACTCTTGTTATTTGTGGATGATCTAGCCATGTCTATTACAAAGCCTTTTAAGTCTTTGCGTTAAGGATTTTGCATCCTTTTGGGAGGATCTCAGGATATACAGTTAATTTAAAGAAATCAAGCTGGATGGGTATTAGCATGGATGTAACTCAGAAGAACAAACCTGCTCATTTAATAGACATCCTATTAGATATCTGTGGATTTGGGTTCAGGGAAATTTGAACGAAGTTGTGGATGTTAATCTTAGGAAACGTCTCTCAGAATTAGAAATTCATTCAAACAAATGGAGATTACTCCCAATATCTTGGTTGGGGAGGATTGCTACTGTCAAAATGTTTGTGTTACCAAGATTATTGTTTTTATTTATGAATATTCCCATAACAATCAAGCCAGGAATATTAAAAAGTTGTCAAAAGTGGATCCTTCAGTCTATTTGGCAAAACAACCCCCCCCCCCCCACGTTTCTCCCAGAGACTTTTTTCGTATTAGAAACCTTTATGTGGTGGACTAGATGAGCCTAATATATATTTTTATTATCAAACTGTTAGATTAAGCTCATTATTATGATGGTTTATGCCAGATAAGAATTTGAGTGCTGTTGAAAAAGTAATCAACAGGAGCTTGCCAAATATTTTTGATTTTTTGCCAAGAAAAAGAAATATGAGTTCAAGAGTATTAACGTCATCATCAGTCACCACTGACATTTGTTTTTTATAATGAGGTGCGAGATGTGAGCTCTTTAGGAGATATTCAACTATGGAAGAAAGCTAATCTGTTTACAATTGAAAGTCTATTAGGTAATGAGGGGATTCTGTCTTATGATCAAATTGTTGCTAAAATGAAGGGAGAAAGACTGCAATTATTTCAGTTCTTCCTGATTAGGCATATTATTTCATCATAAATTCAAAAGCACAGGAAATGCTGGCAGAAAACAACTTTTGAAAAAACGACTAATAGGTCTGTACCCGGGAAAGCACATGATTTGTATACATTCATTTTTAATCAAGCGGTAGTGTTCGATAAACACCCAAGGAAATGGGAACAATGGCTGGGAGGAGATAACAACTAGTGAGTAGGCATGGATCTGGGAGAGAATACCATAGAAACTGATCTCCAGTGACTGTAAAGACAACTTTTATAAAATCCTGTATGATTGGTATCTAACCCCATGTAAATTGGCTTGAATTTACAATATATCCATAGATATTTGCCAGAGATGAAGAAGAAAAAGAGAAGAGATTGGATTTATACCCTACCCTTCACTACCCAAAGGAGTCTCAGAGCGGCTTACAAACTGCTTTCCCTCCCCCTCCCCACAACAGACACCCTGTGAGGTAGGTGGGGCTGAGAGAACTCTGACAGAAACTGCTCTTTTTCAAGAACAGCTCTTATCAGAGCTACGGCTTACCCAAGGTCATCCAGCAGCTGCATGTGGAGGAATGGGAAATCAAACCCAGTTCTCCCAGATTAGAGTCCATGCACTTAACCACTACACCAAACTGGCTCCAGAGGTAGACCAATTCCACATCTTTTGGGAATATACCGGAATACAAAGGTTTTGTTTCTAACTCATGAGATTATTGGCTATGAAAACCCTTTTGACCCTAAAGTTATTCTGTTATGCTATTTTAAAGAAGTGATAGAAGATACCTTTTTGGAATTGGTGACCAATCACATTATTACCGCTAGAATGTGTATTGCCAGCTACTGGAAGTGTGTGGAGATCCCTACAATACTTGAACGGCTTTACAGAATTTGGAAGATGGCTTATTTTACTAAATTAACATATTATAAAAGTATCTTGGGTGGTTAGAATTTGTATGAGGACAAATTCTTGAAGTACTGGACATTTTTCATTATGTTTTGGAATAATAAACGTGAGTACGGTGTATGCCCATATACAGAGTTCGAAAATATTTTATGTATTATATAGCTATATGGATGTGCATAGGCGCCCTTCATAGAAGGGGGGGCTATCATGGTGCATGCGCAGAACCACCAGGGCGAATCAATCCAACCCCTCCAACAAAAGACTTCCCTTTAAATGTTTGACCCGAAAATGGCCTCTGTGAGATCCCGAACTCATCTAAATGCTAAAACAAGTGACCGTATAAATGTCGGTTTTCTAAACGTGGTGGCGGAGCTCCGCCTATGCGCACACCGCCAATGCATTAAAAAAATGGTGGACGAAAAGCGGAAGCCTCAGGCAGCTTTCGAGCGGGGAGGGGGTTTAAACCGGAAGTGGCTCAACACCACAGGAGCGATCAGACGTCAGGAAATGCGGCTAGAACTGGAGAATCAGGAAAACACCACTTGGGGACCTGGTAACAAAATACTCCGTTTTAAAGGGGGGTTGAGCGGGAGAGTGACAGCTGGGGACAGTGCGCAGATGTTGGGTGTGTGAACGTGGATATAAAACCCGTTACTGAAGCGTGCTGAAAGCGGACTAAATGGCCTGTCTGACCGCGCCCAAAGCCTTTCCTTTCCAGCTACTCTACAGCAACCGGTTCACAGTGATGCTACCTATGAATACAGAAGCTCCATTCAGCTGTCATGGCTTATAGCCGCTGAAAGACCTATCGTCCCATGGGTTTGTCCATATGAACTCTCAGAGCGCTCAATAAAAATGCTCAGAGGTGGCAGGCAGGGTGTACCAGATGGGAGAGAGTTTGGATCTCGCAGATAGTGACACTCACATGTTTCCCTGGCTGAAGGTTGCAGGCTCTTTCATGTATTCCATCTCCTCCCTTATTTGTGGCTCCTGAGACACAGCTGCACGTGCAGAGACCTAGACAAGCAAAGATTATACATTAGAGTACAACTGAAACCATGAGATGAAGACTGCATTTTAACGGAAGTGCTGGAAAATAGGTGTACACACATACACACAGAGTTGCCTCACACTGAGTCAGATCACTGGTCTTTCAAGGACTGTTTTGTCTGCTATGACTGGCAGTGGCTTTCCAGGGTCCCAGGCAGAGGTCTTTTATATCACCTACTGCCTGATCTCTTTTACTGGTAATGCCAGGAACTGAACATGCAAATCAGACACTCTACCATCGAGCCATGGTCCTTTCCCACGTGGAAAGGTCTACACTGTAGTGGGGGAGGGAACCAGTATGGCAGCAGAATTCAATTAAAACAATGAAGAATTAAGGCTCAGTAGGAGAAACTAATCATTATATAAAGTGAATTTACTTACATACTAACATCCCTTTGCAGAAGCAGAAATGGAGATTGCTGCTAGGGAGTAAAGGTATGCAATGGCATACTGGGGTTACAGGAGATAAACAACACGGAAATAGCTGACTGGGGCTACAGAGTTCAGGATTCACTAAAGGACGCAGTCAAAGAAGTCATTACTGAGGACTCACACTGTAGGGACCAGGAAAACTGAGGAAAGAACTCATATACTGCAACAGCAAAAGGCTAAGTGCACTCATTAGTGTAAAAGAAAATGAGGATTAGGTATACTCTGGAGCATCAAGGCAGAAGTAGGCACAACAGTGCTACTAAAAGTTTGGTGTCAGTCAGGTACTAGATAGCGCAGATGAGAAGGCCAAGCCTATACAATTTATTTTACAAGAAAGTTATTTTTATGTCATGTCAGTGATTCAACTGGGAATGGACAGCAAAAAGATGCATATTTAATACACTGCATTATATACTGGCATACCAGAGTAGGAACTGATGTCAGGAGAGGAGCAAAGGCCCCATGTAGTCTTGACAGGACAGAAAAGAAGGATCTATAAATCTGAGGAGGAAAGAGATCACCTACTGAGCTCTCAAAGATGCTTCACAAGGGGGAGAACTCCACCCATGGAGCATTTCAAGGTAAGGATTAACAAACAACCTGCATGCAGGTGAGAAGAACACACACAAGTAAATTTCAGAAGCATACAGACCACAGGGCACAGACGGGCGATTGTCCTGTGCAATGCCCCACATTTATTTATTTTGCAGCATATATAAAAAATTCACCTCTCTCAAAACGCCTAATTGCATCTACAATTTCTTATTTCATGAAATTCAAATTGGCGATTGGGTTCCCTGGCATTTCAGCAGGGCCGGAATCCGACTACCGCGTCAGCAAGGGATACAAAATCATCCCCCCTTCAAAACCGATTACTGCAGCAACGCGCAGACTGCACGTTCAGTTTCTGAATAGTGCTTTCCTGGGAACTATCTTGGTAATTTCTGAAGCGCCCCCATTAAAAGCCACGTCTGTGGACCGAAGCTCGCGGCTTTCTAGAGGCATTCTCCACCTCCTCCAAGGCAGGCGTATTAGATCCACACGTTCCATGTCCGACACGTGAAAATATGCTTCAAGGGGCTGGTCCTCAGACGGTGAAGGGGGTGAGGAAGAGGAGGCGTGGCCAGTGGTCCAATCACCTCGAGACGTGGCAGTTGGGCCAGACAGAGGAGCCCCGGCGCGAGCCCCTTGAACGACCCCATCGCGCGCGCATTCCAAGCTCACCTATTGGTCGCCTCGGTTCCCTCGCGCGTCCTCTCCTTTCGCCCCCTGACTTCTCAGAGCAAGTCGACTCCGCGTGGCTGAACCTCACCTCCTCACCACGAAGCAGCAAGACACAACTCTCGCGAGACTCCCGCCTCACGTTCCTTCGCTAAAGATCGCGAGGGAATGAAGAAGAATCAATGCATAGAGATGGGAAAGTCGAGTGTTCCACGCAGCGATCGCTTTCGGTTTTCATTTGGAGGCCGTCTTCTGCGGGGTAAAAGCACCCTGCACACTTCTCTATAGAAGTGTATATATATCAAACTCTCCCCTTCCCCACCCTCTTTTTTTCCTTTGGGGAATGTGTGGAAGCTTCTCAGTCTTCAAATCTTAAAGGTGCTCTGATTTATTTTTAATTTGCGTCTCTTGCCCCTCAGAGTCAATTGGGAACCGGAACCATCGGGTTAGGGCTTGTCACGAGGGAGGGTGTGTGTAGAGGTTAGATGCGACGAGCGACATTTGGTGAGGTTGGAATCGTCCTTTGCGCATGTTCTGAGAGTCGCCTTATTATTTTTATTTCGGCTTCATAATTTTCTGGAATTGAGATTTCAGAATTAATCTAGTGCAGTGCTCTGGGTGCGTGTTTCTCAACAAGCCCATGGCTTTCAGTACGAAATGAGCAGCTACAGCTAGGAGTAGTATTGTGGGTTAGTTGGGCTTCTGCCCTGTCTCCTCTGTCTAAGACTGCGATCACACACCCTTAATCACTTTCGATGCACTTTCCAACTGGGTTTTACTGTGTGAACTGGCAAAATACAGTTGGAAAGTGCACTGAAAGTGGGTTATTTAGTGTGTGTGATCACAGCCGAAGAAGAGGTAGTGTAGTATAGTGCTTATAATGCTGGATTAGCCCTGAGGAGACCACCGCTGTCCCAGCTCCACCATCCTTGGCCATCACAAGGCTTCAGTTTCCTTTAAATGAGGTCCTGTCCATATGAGGCCTTTTGGGCCGGGAGCGGGACGGAACGGGGGCGGAGCAAACGGGCACGATCCCACGGCAACATCTGGGAATCGTTGCCTGCCCGTCCCTGTTCGTCCCAAACAGCGATACCGCGCTGTAAAAAAGAACCACCTACCTAGGTGGTTGTATCCCTTCCAGCGCCGCAAGCCGGGCCGTGGGATCGGGCGGCGCGTCCTTGCGCCGCCGCATCCCAGCCCCCGGGCGTACTGCGCATGCTCGAGCATGTGCAGTTCGGCAGCCTCCCCCTCCCATCGGACTTTCCTCCCCGGCATCTGATCGTGCCGGGGAGCGATGTGCCGCGGCTGAGGGGATCCGTGGGATCCCGCCGCGGCGTCTCAAGCTCAGTGCGGCTCTGCTTAGCCGCGTTTCAGCCATCCCGTGTGGCAGCAGCCTGAGTCTGTCTTTCCTCCAGTTTCTGCCTGTTATGCCTCCCAGAATACCTGTGGGATGTTCCCTCTCGTTTTCATCATGTCCTTCCTGAAAACCATTTCTGTGTCAACCTTTCCTAAGTCTGAATAACTGTAATGGAATGCATGCCCATGTGTATTCCCTTCCTAGGTCCACCTTCCTTTATTGTCTCTCTTTCTTTAAAAAAATCGTAAACTCCTTGGGACAGGGACCTATCTTGTAAAATTCCAGTCAAACAAATAAACCCTGGCCAGCAACTAACTGCTGGAGAATTGTTTACTTCCCACAATTAGGAAAGGTACTTTTACACATTTATTGCTTATTTTGACATATTTATTGCTTTACTGCTTTCTCCCCTTAATTAAAGCAAAACAACTGTTGACCTTGTGACTGTAGCTTATTTAGTTTTGTCTTTGCATATCTTAAAACATCTTCATCATGTTACATATTTATTATTAAAATTATATCCCACCCTCCCTGCTGTGGCGGGCTCACGCCTGCCAACAATTTATACATCGAAGGTCGGGAGAGGGATCCCTAACCTTGGGCTGTTCTGACTCAGGCACAGGACCTCCGTCTTCGTCGGATTCAATTTCAGTCCACTCAGTCTAAGACAACCAGCCATGGCTTTCAACGCCAGGTCCAGAGTCTGACTGGCCGTCCCAACAACAGGTAGAGCTGGGTGTCATCCGCATATTGGTGACAACCCAGTCCATGCCTCTGGGCAAGGGGATACATATAGATGCTGAATAGCATTGTGGAGAGCACCGCTCCTTGGGGCACTCCGCAATTTAGCGGGTGCTTTCTGAATAGCTGTTCCCCAACTGCCACCCTTTGTCCCCGACCCTGAAGGAACGAGGAGAGCCACTGCAAGGCAAACCCCTGAATCCCGATATCGGCGAGACAGTGGATCAGTAGTTGATGGTCGAACACCGCTGACAGGTCCAACAACATCAGTCCCCCTGCCTTTTACTGACACAGTCAAGCCTGGAATATTGTGGTTGCCTAGCAACAGCCACCAAGGTAATCAATTACTTAAAGCTACAGGCACTCCTTTTATCCTTTTTTGTATAATGTGCTCTGGGTTCTTAGCTAGAAAAGTAACACTCAATGGAGTGGATCCAGCTTTCTAACTCAATCTTGGCCAATTCCCCTTTTTACTACAGCCCATCCCCCAAGATTTTTGTCTATGTGGGTTCCAACAGGATTCCTAGACAGGGGTTGGCACCCAGCAGGAGACTGGGGGAGGAGGAACAGAGGGGCACCATTGCTTTGATGGCATGCAGGGCCGGCTTGCTCACTAGGCCTACTAGTATCTGGCCTAGGGTGCAGATCTCCCAGCGCCTGGATACGCCCTGCTCTGCTCGGACTCGTCGCCACCTGCCTCCCCACCACCACTACCGAGGACCGTCGAGGAGAGGCAGGCCAAGGGGCAGCCACGGGGAAGATACGTGCTCCGGTCTTGGTGGCCCCCCCACCATTTGGCTGCTGCCCAGCCCCCACCCCGTGCAGCCCTCCAGGCCCAGCCCGGCGGGGGAGACTCTCCTCCTCGTCCCCCCCTTCAGCCCCGGGGGGGACGGGGGGTTTACCGGGAGGAGGCGGGGGAGCGCAAGGATGGCGGGAGGACCCTGGGTGGCGCGAGGGGAGGCCTGCCCGAGCTCGGCCCCTAGGGTTGCGCCCCTGCTGCTGCTGCGCCCCGGCTCCAAGAACCTCCAGGTTTCCCCAGGGCTGGGGACCAAGGGAGGGGGTTTGCTGCCAGCCGGCTGGCTGGCCCCTGGGCTAAGCAGTCCGGACCTGCCCCCCCGGCCGGCCCCCCCGCCCCCCACATCGGGACCCAGCAGCGCTTCAGCCGACACTGCCTGGGGTGGAGAACTCCCCCCTCTCCCCGCCCCCCAGTGGACGAAAGAGCTGCCGCCGCCTCCTAGCTCCCTAGCTGAAGCCCCCGCCAGTCCTGTCGCCCCGCGGGAAGGGCAGCCTGACTGGGCCTGACCCGGGCAGGGGCGAGGCTAGCTTGTGGCGCCCGGTGCCCCCCCTCCCGGGCGTGTTTCTGGGAGGTTTCTAGGGCCCACCGGGAGGTTGGCATCGCCTGGGGGCGCCACAAGCTGGCCTCGCCTAGGGTGCAGAAACACCTCGGGCCGGCACTTCCAGGGTGAACTTGGAAGTGATGTCACTCCATCGGAGCAATGCCAATTTTTACTGCATTTCTCCCCCCACTGTTAGGATTGCCAACCTCTATGTGGCACCTGGAGATCTCCCACTACAACAATTGATCCCCAGACGACCAAACTCAGTTGCCCTAGAGAAAATGGCTACTTTGGAGAGTGGAATCTATGATATTATACCCTGTTGAGGTCCCTTCCTTTTTTCACCAGCAGAAAGCTGGTTGGATCCAACCAAATGAACATCTGGTAGACGAAGAGTTGGTTTTTATATCCTGCTTTTCTCTACCCTAAGGAGATGCAAAGTGGCTTACAATTTCCTTCCCTCACCTTGTGAGGTAGGCACAGTTGAGAAAGTTCTGAGAGAACTGTGACTGGCCCAATAGCACCCAGCAGGCTGTCAGCAAGGCCTCTAGCTGCCTTGTAGTGGGGGGGGGGGCCTCTGGAATTTTCTCTGTGCCTTTAGTGCTTCTTTATCTCTGTGACATGAACATTTGACCTTGGTGTCTAGCACCAGCTTTCTCCTGGGGAACTAGACCCGTTAGCTTTGGCAGGCTTCTACCTTCTTGAATTATGTATATCTATTTGCTTCGCGCGCTTATTGTCATTTCTGACACAAGATGTGTAAAGACAACCTGTATACTTCAATGTTTCAATAAACTTTACTTCTTTGCAAGAAAGTTGTTGGGAACTGATTGCTGCAGGAGTCTGACACAGGCTTCATGTGGAGGAGTGGGGAACCAAACTCCCGATTAGAGTCCGCTGCCCTGAACCACTACACCACGCTGGTAGGGAGGGATGAATAAATGTTCCTTATTTAATTTCTTTTTATATATGTTTGGGGGGTTTTGCCAGTAATTTTGATTCTCCATTTTTTACTTTTGGTTTTATAGGTTATTGTATAACGTATGCACATTGTAATGGTTTTGTACATATTAATATTTTATTTATTTATAATATTTCATTACCTGTGTGGTTCATGGTGGCTTACACAAACCATCAAAAGCACTGACAAATTAGGATGCCTGGTCATCCTCCTATTTTATGGATTGGTTGTTTTATTTTATTTCTGCAGCAAGCTAAATTGCTTTGCTTGCTGTTGGATGATGTAAAATTATTCACTATATGAAAATGGTACTAAAGTCTCCATAGCATCACGGTTTGGTTTTAGTGTCTCACTTTTCAAATTTTTGCTATGCCAGGAGTTAGGCTGTAATACAGAGGAACTGCACAGCAAATTTTTTATGGCTGCAAATTGATGAAGGTAAAGTGAATTATGCCAGTAGTCTAGTGTGTGATGCATTTTGTTCTGACGTACAGACAAAAACGATCAGTAATTAGAGACAAAGGAAGCTTTGACTCTCAAAAGCTTAATACCCTGGTATAATATCAAGGTGCTAGTAAAGGTAAAGGTTTCCCTTGTTCGAAAGCCAGTCGAATTCAACTCTTGGGCATGGTGCTCATCTCCGTTTCCAAACCGAAGAGCCAGCGCTGTCCGAAGACATTTCCGTGGTCATGTGGCCAGCATGACTAGACG